TTATCCAACTTCTGCTTTCGTCATTGGAAACAAAGGTGGGGGGACTCCAATGGATGCACCTCCACTCATGTGTGCCTACTGCTCTGTGGTGCTCTGAAAAAGGTATSGATGTCTCAACACTRTGTGACRCTWSTTCCCACCYGTCTTTGGAAGATTGGCTACACCTMTGGTGGGAATGCATCATTGCTAGAGGTTTCTGGGAATTTTTAGATTCCCTATGGYTGAAGGCGTWCTCAGTGAGGGGCTTTTGGAATCAAGATTTGGTAATAACAGGCAGAATACCRGAGGTTTTCAAACACCAACAGGCGRGCTCTGTGGCTCAGATCTTCAGAAGAAGAGCTTTTTGGATACTATGGGTAGCAAGGCGCGATAGGCGCTTCCTTAATTCCAAACATCCTCTTCCTACCCTGATAGCCAAGTTTAGGCACTCTGTTAGAATGGAGATTACAGCAGAATGGACCAAAGCTAAACGTTGCTCTAGTTCCCCGCAATTAGCTATGGAAAACTTTCGGAGAAAATGGTCCGTACCTTATAAATGGGCTGGTATTGGTGCCAACAAGAAGCTATTCTATTCGGACCTCCWATGGGATCAATCTCCCAGTCCCAGTATCTCTACTTTCAATCAGGCAGCGTAGTGCTGAGAGGGACTGTGAGTTCTTTCCTTTTACCCCATTCTGGTAGGTTAGTAATACGGTTACGAGCTCCGGCCTACTCCCACTGTACAGTTTCGTCTTGTTCTTTGCTCAGTTCTCCGGGCAGACTGTGGGGACCCCGACCCCGAGCTACCTTGTTCAGTTGCTTATAAGGGACGCTGGGCCCGGTTCCCAACATGTGCTGCTCCCCACAAATAGAATGGAGCTATGTTTAAGCCAAAAAAAAAAAAAAAAAAAAAAAAAAAAACGTAAAAAACGACGAAATCATGATTTCGTGCAACGAATGGCAAAGGGCCTCGTTCCACAACACTACACTACACCCGCACTACAGTTTTTGCCTTCACTTTACTACAGTTTTCGGCGCTTGCCACTAGGGTGTGGTCCCATTAGCAGTCGGATAGGAGTGTGGCCGATCCAGTGTGACACTGAGTGGCAGCGGCCTGACAGGTTCATTACCAATTTCTGGGCTGAGAAAATAGGAGAAAATAGGGGTCTGGTTAGAGACTCCTAAAAGTGCCTGTTTTTAGGATTGCGTCTTGGTTGCACGCAATCCTAAATCCAATTTCGAGATCCAAAATGTGAAAACGGCGTTAGGACGAGTCCTAAAGGATTTAGGATTCCCCAGGCAAAATCATCCTAAATTTTCCAGTAGCCCCCGACCTACTGAAAACTTTAGGATTCCCGCGTTTCACGGACTCGTTGCGTCTCGCGCATGGCCCCGTCGACACGGGGTTGCTGGTCCAGGAGCGGTCCGTTGGGTGGGTGGTCGGACATCGGAGGTTTTCTGCGGGTCGACGCCGGCAACGGCCACCAACGGTAGCCGTTGGCCGACACGGTGGAGCGCGGGGGGCCGAGCGTGGGCGGGCGGGCGTCCGTAGTGGACGGTTGGCTTGGTTGCGGGTAGCGGAGGAGGACGACGATGTGCGCGGGACGACATACGGAGGCGCTTCCGGCAGTGCGCGGGCGGCAACGGTCGATCTTTTAATCACAGGCAGACACCTTTCTCGTCTTCTCTGGTGGTTGTCGGCATATGAAGGTCCAGCGGCCCTATCCACCGGCATGCCAGAAGATACTTCTGCAGTAGTTGCGTGGAAGGGTGCCTGCCTGCGATTCAATTGATGGCAGACATGCAGAGGAGATCGCATGTGCTGGTGCTCGCTGTGGTCGTCTTCCTCCACGTGTGTTTGTTGTGCCGGCTGTGGAAGCAACGTCGCAAGTGGAGGGCGTCAACGAAACGGAAGGCAGGGGAACGTCCGATGGCGGGCATGCAGGCACGCGCGGTTCTGGCTGCAGGTCAGGGCGGAAGACGACCTGCGACGGCGGAGCCTCCACGGTTGTACGAACCGTCCATGTACACCCATCTAGAGTCGTGGGAGACGCCACTGCCCCCGTCGGACGAGGAGCCGGAGACGGAAGAACTTCCAACGTTGCCTCTCACCAGCAGGTCGACACAGTTGTTGTCGCAGACGGTGCGAGCAGGTGGGTCGGCAAGCAATGAAGGCGGCGAGTTCACCTCACTCCTGCACCAAGGCTTGGGAGACGACGACGACGGAGGACTTGATCTCAGGTTCGGGTTGTGTTCTGGCGGCGCTAGGGAGGCGAGCCGTACGTTCATCATCGACGTCGATCCTTCGCCACGTGGCCTTCAACATGCTGGAGGTGAGCATACAGAGCAGTCCATACTTCGTGGCGGTGCGTCCGTTACTGGCGGAGTCAAGCCATCGCCAGCAGCCCAGCAGCATGGATCGACTGCACCGTCCGCCGATCGATTGGCAAGTACCTGGCCCGCAAACACTGGAGTCGCAGTCGGGTCCCTGCGCATCGGCGATGCACGTCCTTCGATGCCCAACCGCACAACGTCGACCCAACCCGACCTAAGGGACAAGGGCGCCCACATACCACCGGTGCGTCCAGGACCCACTGTGGAGAACATCACACGAGGAGTGCCAAACATGCGGGCACACAACGATGGCGGCGACGACGATGGTGGTGGCGATGACGATGCCGATGAAGGATTCAGGGAGGTTGTGGAAGCATGGGACGACGACGACGACATTCCTATTCCTGTCTCTTATACACATCTAGATGTGTATAAGAGACAGACGTCGACCCAACCCGACCTAAGGGACAAGGGCGCCCACATACCACCGGTGCGTCCAGGACCCACTGTGGAGAACATCACACGAGGAGTGCCAAACATGCGGGCACACAACGATGGCGGCGACGACGATGGTGGTGGCGATGACGATGCCGATGAAGGATTCAGGGAGGTTGTGGAAGCATGGGACGACGACGACGACATTCCTATTCGGCCTTTGGGGAAGACGGGTGGGAGGGGGAAAGGACGCAGCAGAGGTGCTGTTCGTGCCAATGGTCGATCCGTTGGCTGTGGCGGCAGAGGTGGCGTCAGCGACGGCGGCGGGAAGTCTGCGACGTACTGGTCTCCGGAAGACCAAATGCTCCTGGTGAGATGCAAGCGGGAGCACGAGATGCACCTCGTCGGGCTGGGTCACAATTACGGGCGGATGCGGACCAAGGAGTGGAAGTGGGACGACATTGTGAAGCGCATGGCGAACGCGGGGAGGCCTAAAGACGCCGACGACTGCATGAATAAGTGGGACAATCTCTTCCAAAACTACAAGAAGATACAGATGTTTCATAATGTCAGCGGCCAGACAAATTTCTTCAGGCTATCGAATGAAGAAAGGAAGGAGCACAACTTCAAGTTTCGGATGGAGAGGGTGTTGTACAACAAGATCCACGCAGGCATGCTGGGGAACCATACAATTTTCCCTCCCAACGTCGCCGACACCGGCAGTCCGGACGGGGTGCAGCTGCCCAGGCGAGGAGCGGTTGGTGGGGAGTCTGTTTTTAGTGAGGCCGGTGGTTACGGCTGCCCTGAAGAACGTTCTTCTGCGAGGGTCTCCGACAACAACGCCGGAAGTGGGGTTGGAGGCGGGAAGCGAAAGAATGCGCGTCAACAGGTGTTGGAGTCGATTGCTGATGTCATGGACCGCCATGGCGAGCTGATGTCGACGACGATCAATTCGTTTAGCAAGCGGCAATGCAGCCCTGGTTGGTGACACGTGTAACAGACGTTCAGATTGCCAGGGATCCCTGCGGGAGGCGGTGTCGAAGCCAGTCCGTGTTGAAGCGGCGCAGCACGCACAGCTATTGGTCGCATCGACCTCATCATCGCTTCTATTCGAACATTGTGTTCCCGCCGTTCCTTTTTGCTTTCCTCAATCAAACTTAAGTAACCAGTGTCTTGGTTAGTTCTAAGGGCGGAAGACTCATTCGGTCGTGGGGGACTTTCGATCGGTGGCGGGGGTGTTGTCATCACGGGCACGGGCATGCTCGTGATCACACTCGGGGTGGGTCATTTGGGGGTAATCTGTTCTAGATAGGTGACCGGGCCGGACACAAACCCCATGTTTTCGAACTTATTTGGTAATGCGGCCAGCTCAGCCTTAGCCCTTGCTAGTTCGGATGGGTCTCCTTCCCTAGGATAGTCTTCTCCTTCTAGGAAACTTGTGGCGAACTCTCGTTTCATCTCTTCTGCAGCTGCCATGATCTGTTGCAGCGTGTGATTGATGGGGGAGAACTGCTTTCGTAGTTTCACTCTCATCGTTCGGCTGCGAAGTCCGTTAATGAACAAATATTTGCCTACCTGTTCACCTCGTTTTGGTTTTATGAACATCCTGTAGAACCGGTTTCGATACTCGGTGACAGATTCGAGGGGTTTTTTAACTCGGTCTTTAATCATAAAAAGAGCCTCTTTAGGGTGGATATAATCAAATCAGTTCAGGAAATCTCGCTCGAATGTCGGGAGATCCACCCATACATAGGTGCTAAGCCAGTGATGAGCGTCTCCTCCCAATCGAGCGGGAATGTTGACATGTGCCTCGTTATCATCGTACTGCTGAGCTCGAACTGTGGCCAACCATGCTCCAGCGAGATGATGTGCAGGGTCAAACAGATAGAGATCGGGTGGCGTCATGGGAGCCCACGCTCGTGGTACGGGTTGATTAGGATTCTGTTGTGGATTCGGATTCTGTTGGGGGTTCTGTTGATTAGCGTTCATGTTGACCGCCCGTCGAGCCGCAGACCGGCTTCGGATGACGACGGGATCGCGTCGATGCGCGTTCCGGGGTCGAGGTCGTCCCCTGTTAGCCAGATCGCCTAACTATGAGTCCTAGAACCCTGCCACGTGTCGCGCTCCGATACCAACCTCACGCCCGGCGCGACTTCCTGATCGGAGTGGGATGTGGGCATGGAAGTGCGAGAAGGGGTGTGCCAAGGATTTTTGGGGAAAGTGGGGGTGGAGTCCGAGGTCGGAACTGAGATCTCCTGTGGCAAAGTTTCAGGGGCATAGATGCAATAGAGCTAAGGGGCGAGTGACTTCCAGTCTGATGGCGGTCGAAGTCGTGCAGTATGAGGCAGCTGGCATGCACGGTGCATTCAGGGCCGTCCGATCCGTCTGTTTTGGTGGCGACGGTCCCACCCGGGATGGTTGTGATTCCGATGAGTCAGACCTTCGGGTGCCGACACGTGGCGTCTATCGTCGCGTGTTTTGGTTAGGCCCCGTGGTTTCAGAGGCTCGTCAGTTGCCGCGTCGCCTGCAATTTTTGCAAGGAGTGCGAGGCCAATACGGGGCGATGGAGTTTCACGGAACCACTGTAAGTTGGTGATACGGAAGGAGGAGACGGAAGAGAGGGAAATTGGCAGCGATAACGACGAAGTCGGGGGATATGAAGTACTGCGTGTTATCTGTAGTGGGATAATCGGGGCACCTTGGATCGCTGGTTAAGGCACAGTGAAATTCCCTGGGGCACAATCGATTCTCAGTTAGGCAGGGGAATTTCGGGTATCTTTGCCTAAGACATTCTCTCACCCAAGGGCTCGAAGTACTCCGGGTCCCATGTGTCCGACATCTTGTCATTGCGACATAGTTAGTGAACGTGAATCGCCTCGCGTGGACACGTGTAGGCCGCGCAATTCCGATCGCGCTTACGCGTATCCACGCGAGGTGTTCGTGTGCACCCGGGCCTATTGGCTACCAAAGTGAGATTTTAATCCCTCATGCAAAAATCGTCCTCTGTCCGGGATGCTACCCAATCATCTAATCACTCAGCAATCATTTCCGAGCATGCAAGGGGTTATTACACATCAGACATCGCAGCAACATCAGATCAGCAGCGGATCAAAGTGACAAGCAATAACGAAAGCGATTACGACAACTATACAAAAACGACAAACATATTACTTCATCCAAATTCGTCCATCCCATACATGCAAAAGCGGGAAGACCAAGACAGAATGAGACATCATACAAGGACCAGTATCGAAACAGATGTGCCAAGAGAAATGAGAGCGAATCGCTCGAGCCGAAATCAAAACTTATATACAAAAACGAAAGGAAAAGAAAAGACAAAGAAAATTGCAAATCCACGTCCTTCAACCTCAACTCTCTCTCTCTCTCTCTCTCTCTCTCTCTCTCTCTCTCTCTCTCTCTCTCTGATGCGAACAGTCTGTCGTCACGCACCAAATCACGAAGTCGTCACCGCGCTTAGTCCTCTTGCACCGTCAGGTTCGCCCACGCGCTACAGTCCGTCGTAGCCCCACGCGTAAACCCCTTGCATTCGGCACCAGATCGTCGGGTCGCCCGACTCCCACTTCAACTTACCTCTTACTTCGCTCGTGAGCCGACCCTCACTGATCGCGCTACCCCGAGCTTCCAACAACTGGTTAAGAGAGCTATCTAATTGCGCAACCGAAATTTATAGTGTGCATGCAAGCGCGAAGAACTCGGAATTCCAAGGACTTAGAAAGGAGATTAGGAGAGGGAGTGCCTACGTTCTGCATGGCCAGACCTTGGCGTGGGGTCGTAGCCACTCTCCACGCATCGATCCGAGCTTGACATCCACAGCAAAAAGAAAAGGAGAGGGCGGGAAAGACGAAGCTGAAGAAGGGAGATACAGTTACAATGTCGCCTGCCCAAAAATTACAGTTACACACGAGATTAAGGGTGCCGACTAATCAGAGCTCTGCTGCAGCCGTAAAAAGAAGCGCGCAAGAAAAACAACACGCAACAAAAGAAATCCCGAATTCCTAAATTCCTAAACTTATTGCAAAAAGAACTTTAATAAAACATAAATTCCGAAAAGAAAGTCCGAAATTCCGAGAGTCATCGGGGCTCGACAAAATTCGAAAAAGAAATTCAAAAAGAAGCAAAACTTCCCGCACGACCTCCGCGCCTAAAACCCGACAACAGAACAAGAGAGAAGCGACGTCAAACATTATCAATCGCGCCTTTGTCGGCACGACAGCCACTCAATCGGCCATCTCGGGACTTGCTCGGCCCTGAACCCAGCCATCCGAAAAGAAGCGACGAAAAAAAAAAAGACGAAGAAGTGAGGACACCGATGCAATTTCCCTTCGATCCCGATCTCCCGTAATTGGCCCATCCTTCCCATCTTAGGACCTCTCATTGTCATCGCGCACAAAATCGTGCGGAACAGAAATTGGTTCGCCACAATGGCACAACATAAAGATTTCGGCCCGAAAGGGCATTCCGCACTACCTACATCTTTCAGGGGGCATATATCTTAACTTATGAAGGTATTTTGCAAATTATTCATTTTTATTACCTAATTTTTTTTTCCTTTTTGGACCATTTCTCTATCTGTGTGTGTTATCCATGCGTATAGGCCATGCTAATCTACTCTATGTCGTTCCAATTTTAGCAGATGCCTCGAAGGATTTTATTAACTAGTTGTACTTTTTTTTTTTTTTTTTTTTTTTTCCGGAAAGGCCCTTATGCAAGGCCACTATCCCGGTGGTGGTGACAGAACCACTGAAATTGAGTTTTTTTGCCTGTCGGGCTGCTCCATCTATTGGTGGGGAGCGGCACCTGCTGGAAATCAGGTCCAACGTCTCTTGGATACATCCTTTCGATGCAACTTTCATTTTTCTTGGTTCTGGGGCTAAAACCATTTTACTGCTAGCATGCAGCTCCAATCCCATCAAACTGCTAATATTGCCCTTCCCGTTCTAATAGTCACGGTGACTGTTCCATCTTCTCCCATATTCCTCTCTAACTCATTTGTTCAAGCCCGATTCCAGAAGTGTGCAACTCAACCCTATAGTTGTGAAGCCTCTTTATCTCTTGACGATGTTTTCCTTTCGGTTCTCCTTTCCTTAAACCCTCCTTTAAAGCCTCCCTAAACCTTCTACGCACGCCACCCTGAATCAGGTCCGATGATTGTTGCTACTTTTCTTGTCGTCTTCTGCAGCCCTATGCCTTCCCCCTCCCCCTCCCCATTTCTCCGCAATGTCCTCCATTGAAACTCCCTTCTTTTACCCCCTGTCCTGCCCCAGTCCGGGAAACCGGACCCAGGGTCCTATTGAAGCATCTTGTGGCACAAAGTTTGCTTGTTTGCTTTCCTAGGGTTGTGGATGTTTCTCTTCTCCACCCGGGGCTCCACTTTCCCCTGGAGCTGCTGATATTACCCATCCCATTCTGGAGCACCCTTGTCTAATGGACCGGCCCTGTTTGGCAGCCCCCCTGTTCGTTGTTGCTATGTGTTGTCCCTTTTAAACACTAAACCCTCTCTGAATCCATGAATAAGACCCACGCAATCCGTGAAGCCTAGCTTTGTGCAATGAGATGGAATAGTAAGCAATGAGGTGCAGGATGATAAGAGGTAACATCAATACAAAGAAGACACATGTGATCAGTAAGGCTGAGCTATCTGTAATAAGATGAGGTGTTGAAAAGCACGATAGTTTCCACAACTCCCCAATTTGTTGTTGTTTTGTCCATCACCTGCTTCCTGATTCATTCGAACAACCCTTCGTTATCCCTTCCATCGCGCCTGTCTTTCACCTGCCCTGGGACCATCAGGCTAGGTCGCTTCTGGATTCCGTTCTCCCCTGTATTTGTCATTACTATCTCTGATCCGTTATGCCTACATCCCTCCTCAACTCTTCCAAGATCATGATCACCCTGAGGTCTATCAGGCTCATACCATTCTTGATCCCCACAGCCGCCCTATTTGTTGTTACCATTCCTGTCGCTTACACTATGAACCCTTGCAAAACCCTCCCAAGACCCTTCGAAAACCCTTTGAAAGCCCGGATTCGCAGCCCATCGTAATTGTCGATTACCGCCCAACAATCTATCCAGCCCGGGCAATTCCTAATTTCCCCCACCCCTATCTTTGCCATTCCTATAACTGCCCCAAGAACCCCATACGCATCTG